ATGGTCACCCAACACTTAACAATAGCCTCTACCTCAAGAGGTAGAGGAGCCAAATGGCTGGCTCACTGCTGCCCACTAGTGGTCAGAGGCTGAACTACAACATAAAAATGAACGGCTGGCAGGAAAGCTGACATTTTAAACCTTAATAAAAAATCGACATAGGGCTTTAGAATATCGATACAGTATCTGGAAATGAAATATCGCGATATTTCAATGTATCAATATTTTCTTACACCCCCTAGTTATCGGCCATAACAGCAATAAATATATCGACATCAGCTGAAATCTTCATATTGGTGCATGATCCCATATCGAAAAACATCATATCATCATCCAAACAAATGGATATATCACATCGTGATAAAGTTTTAGATTTATATCCTTACTAAAGGTGCCTCAGACCTCCTCCTCTTCCTTTATAATATAAGAATTATAACCGGAGACATGATATTTACCCTGAATTGTGCACTGGCCTGGTGAAGTTGGGACYTCCTGTGGTGCTTGTGTCTGCCCACCAGGGCACACAGACAGCACACGGGAACCTTCTCCTCCATGCAGAAGAGCTTCAGCTCGTCCCGGTGCTCCCTGCACTTCAGGGACAACGGATCGCAGGTCACATCCACCAGCGTGTGCTCCCGGAGAGCGGACTTCTGCTGGTGCAGCCGGGCGTGAGCCTGGCAGAGCGAGGCATCGCAGGTCAAACAGGTCCTCACGGCCTCGGACGGCTTCTCGATGCAGTGGTCACAGAGGATAGGTGAAGGCGACTGGGCTGAAGAGCTGGGAGCTGGTCCTGACTGCGTGTTTGCAGTCAAGTCCTTCACTTTATTCTGAAGATGGGTATTTATCTCCAGAGAGAGGTCAGAGGGGAGGAATATCTGACACTCTGGACAGAAGAAAGGACCCGCGGGAGACAAATCGGTTTCCCAGACGGCCTGGATGCAGGTGAGGCAGAAGTTGTGTCRACACTGGAGCGTAACGGGATCGATGAAGAGATCCTGGCAGACGGGACACTTCAGAGTTTTGTCATCAGTCTCCATGGCTCCGCTCGGCTCTGTTATGGCATCCRGGTGTAAGACTGCGCTCCTCCAGGGAACTCATTAATGTTTCACCTGCCTCACTTGGCACGAACACACGCCACTAACAGGTCTTCCTATCAGGTTACTGCTGATAACAGGAACCTTTTTAAACCAGTGACCCCCAGGAGACACACACAACCGTTTCACCAAAATGTAGAACTGAAGAACACTGAATGTGTTGAAGAAATCAAATTGAAGCTAAAATAAGCAGAATATTACTTTAAAGTCACTGTGATGTCAATCTTTTGTATTAAATATGAATGAATTTTTAGAACGAGAACATTGATAAAATATTGCAAAATAAATTTCATGTCTCTGATGAACAGTTGTTGAGATATTTGCCTGTGAAGAAACAGGAAGTGATGTCAAAGGGGAATGTCTGAATGTAAACAAAGCGTTGCTACAACAGCTGACAACACAGACAGAAGAATCTGATGTTTCTTTAGATTATTTTGAATCACTGTCWGAGAGATAATATT